AAAAAAAATATAGTTAGAGTACTAACTGTTCTCTAACAGCATATGAATTTTTCCGTTATCTTTGATCAAAACGAAATTGAATAAAGTTAATAGATCACTTAGAAATAAAACATAGTTTCTAGATTAAAATGAAATCAAGGCGATAATTAATAGACTAGAAATTGAATTAAGCCATTGTTTTCTAGAAGGTTTGGGAAAATGTTTTCTGGTTCCTTTCGTTACTGCTTCTTATTTATTTATTTATTTATTTTTTAATTCCAATTTTAGTTGAGTTTAGATTTGGCGCTGTTTCCGACCCGCCAATTTTCTAATTAATTCCCTGCATTTGTCAAATAAAACGCAGGAAGTTACTTGCGTTTTGTAAGTTGCTGTTATAAACTTATAATAAAGCAAGTAAAAACAAAAAAAAATTAGTTGCCTGGCGTTTGATGCAACCGCAAAATAAAATTGCAGGGAATGAGTCCTTTTTTTTTTTTTTTTGTAGTGAGTTTTGCATAATAATGTTCAAAAAACACGGACACACGCAAGCAGACAATTCTTGTACATAATATTCCAAATACAGAACAACCAGAATTAAGACAATAGATCTTCTCTAGAGACAGACAAACTTCCTTATTCACAGACCATAAGTTTTCCTTATTCAACAACAATACAAGAAACCCATTCCTCAATTTTCAGAATCTTCTTACCACATGCATGCTCAACTCCTACAAAATACGCATATAATTTTTTCATATAAGAAATTTGTTCTTATAGAGAAGTTATCTCAACCGGTAAGAGTGTGAGAAAAAAGGATTTAAGAAAAATAAGTGATTTTTCATTGTATAGCACACTATCAAATCATATGTACCAAAATAAAAAGGTTTTAGTAATGTTCAAAATACTAAACCATTACCTCGGAGAAGCAAGTATGCGTCCCACATAGGAAATGCATGCAACTGCAAAGCAAAATCAACAAAAATCGGAAGCTTTAGAAATCAGCAATGTTTGAATAAAAACATGAATTTGAAGAGCCAGCATATAGGATATAAATGGTAATGGAGTACCTTTTTATTTAGTGCCAGGCAGAAGGAGCCAATAGTCGTCGCTGAAACCAAATCTTATGCCTGAAGGCGGATGTAAGGCTTCAATTATGTCACTTTCCTCAACTCCTTCAGCCAAATATATTAATAACTCCTCCACATTCTGAAGTTCAGCTTTTCTAGCCTCTTCCTTATCAATTGAATTTCCCACAACTTTCATCCGAATTGAATGGAGATGCTTCAAGTTTCCAAGATCAGCAAGGCTAAATTCTTTATCATCATTCCTATCAGCTCTAGTAATGGCCCCGAGTACAGTTCTAAGAGAAGTCAATTTCCGGATGTCTTTAGGGTAGTGAGTCAGAGCAAAGCAACCATTAGTAGAAAGAAACCTCAAATTGAGTAATTTTCCTATCGACTCTGGTAAATGCTTCAAATTTTGGCATCCTGTAAGCATCAAACACTCTAAATTAAGTATGTTGCAGAGTGCTTCAGGCAACCTTTCTAATTTTTGACTAAAAGCCAAGTTTATAAATCTCAAGTGCAGCAATTTCCCAACTTCTTCAGGAACTTCATTACATAAATGATCAGGTCCAACAGGCAGGCTAAAATCCAATAGCCTTAACTGTCTGCAATGGTTAAACAAGCTACGCAATGCTTTCGGAGTTAAAGCATCCTCTCCTGTATAAGTTACAAGAGTTCGCAACTTTTCTGCACCAGAAATGAATGTTGGAAAAGTCATCCTTTTATCAACCATCACTAACAAGTGACGATGTTTTGTTGAGTTTGTACTCAAATGTTCAGACTCCACAACCTTCATAGCAAACTCATCCTCTGCCAAATACTTACCAAAGTCATGTACAACATCATGCAACTTAAAATGATAAATCTGTCCATTCCAAATTGTAAAATCTTGAAAGAAAAAGTGGGCTACTAGGATGTTAAAGTATTCTAGCCCTACTAACTCCAAGTCTGCATCAGGATCAGAGCCTAAAAACCCTTGTGCCAGCCATTGTGATGTTATGCCATGATACGGGTACTCAAAATCTTTAGGGAAAAGTACACAGTACAAGAAGCACCGCCTTACAGGATGGGGCAAATCATAATAACTCAACAATAAAGGAGCAAAAATTTCCTTTTGTGCTAAATTTAGTTCCCATATTTCACTGTCCAAGATAGTTAGCCACTCTCCTTTAGTACTTCTAGACCGTAAGAGACTTCCTAAAACTTTGGCAGCAAGAGGTAAGCCTTTACATCTGTTTGCAATTTTCCTCCCAATTTCCTCCAAATCTTCTCGACTCTTCAGCTTGTCCTTTCCTCTGAATGCTGTATCTCTGAGTATTGACCAACACTCCTCGTCACCCAATTTCTCTAGATGAATGATTTGGTAGTTAGAGGACCCCATAATTGATGCAACTTGAAGATCCCGAGTAGTCACTAAAATTCTACTTCCAGCAGCACCAAGATCGAATGTGACTTTTAGTGAATCCCACATCTCACCTTTATCGGCCCAAACATCATCTAAAACAAGAAGATATTTCTTTCCTTCGATATATTTAGAAATCCTTCCTAAAAGAACCTCCAATGGATCTGATTCTAGGCCATATGTTGCGCTACCACTAAGGTTTTCAAGCCCTTGAATGATTGCTTTTGCAACTCTTTTCTCGTTGAAAGAATCAGAAACACAAACCCATATTACACTCTCAAAATGCTTTTTAACATCAGGATCATTGCCCACCAGTTGTGCCAGAGCTGTCTTTCCCAGGCCACCCATCCCTACTATAGAGATGGTTTGGATTAGTTTTCCGGCCTCCTCTTCACTATTCCCTTCCAACAAATACCTCAATATTTTTCTCTTCACCCCATCCCGACCACATAGTTTTGACACATCAACAAAAGATGAACTTTCTGGACGTTTTGGAAGTTCAATCTTCTTACTTTCCAATTGATACTTATCTTTCTCCTTTACAATCTCATCTATTCTTCTATTGATTTCCTTTATGCTCCTAGCAACTTCACGACGATTACTTAGCCGACGAAGAGAAAAGCATGAAAGGACGTTGCAGAGTAGTATTACCTTCCCCTGACGATTAGCAGCATTTTCTGCTCCTTTCAGTTCCAGCTCTGCTCTAGTTTTCCACTCATCCAATGCATCCTCCATGTCGTACGCAGCTTCTTTGAGCTTATGCAGCCATTTCTTGACAAGTTGGTCGGTTGTTTTCTTCTCCTCAGCGTGCGCGAGCACGCTCAGGACAAGATCAAGATTTCTTTCAAGCTTTTCCACTTCTTCCTCAACACCGACCAGCAGCTTCACCTCTTTCTTTGCCTTGTCGATGATTGTTTTTACCTGGTCTAGGAATAGGGAAAGTATAGCATCAGCCATTTTTGGAGGGAGGGATTCGCAGTAGGCCTGAGCACGGGTCGGTTTTGGGTCTATTCAAAACCGATATGTAACTAACCGAAAATATTTTTTTTTCATTTTTAGCAACCGAAACCGTACCGAAAATGCTTAGGTATTACGGTTTCGGTCACCGGAATATTTAATATTTTCGGTTGTAAACTCGATCAACCGAAATCCAAGAGAAAAGAGGGATTTGCTTTTGGGTTTTTCAGTGGTTGAATCAATTTTAATGGCTTGTTGAAGAAGTGTAAGTCATGGAGATTGAAGAGGAAGAGACCTCAGATAAGGGTGAGATTGAGAGAAAGGAAGCTGCTGAAAATGAAAGGAAGAGTACAAGTGTGAGTCTAGCAATATTGAAGGTCAAAAAAAGGTCCAGCGAGATTAGATGACTGAAAATGTTCAAGATTTTGGCACTTTGGTTTTGAGATGCAAAGAGAGGAAGATGATGGGTATGAAAGATGTGGAAAAGTCAAGAAGATGAACTGTGTATGCATTAATTATGTGGTGGGGCCTACCTTGGAGAAGCAAATGAGATATGACACGTTAGGGACACGTGTAAAAACAAAGTTTTAACTTTACATTTAATATTTAAATCTATAAATATCTATTTTATTTTATTAATTTTATCTTTTGTTTTACATTAAAAAATGTTTCTTTTTCTTTTGGGTGAACTGGAAACATTATTTCAGTTATTGGTTTTGGATCCTACCCACCGAACCCGAACTGGTTTTTTTTTACCCAATACCAAAATATAAGCCCGAAACCGATTAAATTGAAATCGTTTGGCATTTGAAAATCGGTTACCAGGTATTTTTTCGGATCCGGATATTTTTGCTCAGCCCAAATTCGCAGATACAGAGAGGGAAGTTGAAAGGCAAATTGATTAGGAAAAATTGATTAAGTAGATCTAATAAAATGGATAGGAGTTGCACTACTGTTGGTATTTCTCACAAAGCAAAGGAGAGAAAATCAGGAAGTAGATCTAATATGCAGCAAAATCACTGCATTTCTGATTAATTCAAATTTAGGTAGACACCTAGAAGCTACAGTAGAAAAGGCTTAAGAGTTGGTTGACTTTTTCTTAACTTTACTGTCCCACCCATAATTAAGGAGAAGAAAAATGCATTTATAATTGACCTAAAGTCATTGACCAAAAAGCTCAAGTGCCTATCCCTTTCAATTGTTAATTTTTTTTAACATTGAAAATTTAGAAAAAGAAAGATAACCCACCTAGTCCTAGACGTCAATGACATTAGTCATAATGCTTTTTTTTTTTTGGCGAGCTCAAAACTTGTTCTATGTCAAAATGTTAGGAAAAAAAAAAAAGAAAGATAACATTATAAAGAATTAAGTTATGATTCCATAAAAAAAAAAAAAGAATTAAGTTATTGTGGTGTTTATGGTTAAAGTGTCTTTTATCAGTGTAGTTACAGTTATAGGCATCTTTTTAATTATTATTTTATTTTTTTAATTAGTAATTTTAATTTCAAATAATACTTTTACATAAATTTTTTTTATTAAATAAAATTACTAAACCTTACATATGTTAAATTTTTTTTTCATAAATAAAAAATTAATTACTCAACATTGTAATATGGGAAAGTGTAAAATTAAAATGTATTAACATTAAAAATATTAAAATATTTAATCATAATTATTAAATATATGAAATATAATATAAATAATAATTTTATCAAATTCATCATTATATGATTATAATTAAATATTTTGTTATTTTTAATGATAAAACATCCTAAATTTTCATTTTTCATTGCAATATTATATGTCTCTTTCATTTTTAAAAAAATTTATTCAATCAAATTAAAATATTGATCAAATTTTAAATTTTTTACTAAACAAACTATTTTTTCATTTTCTTCACTTTATTATTCTTAAACTAAACAAGCTCTATATTAACGTAAGAAGAAGCGATTTAGTTCCATTTATTATTTTCTGCAAAATATGGGATCAGAACCAGAAAGCCTTCTCTTCTCGGGATGCAATATATTCTTTGCCATATGCCAATGGGCTTTTCTTCGTAAGATTGAAAAAATAGTGGATGACCCAATAATTTTGGGCTTTATATTCTATCTAATAAGATTTACTAATGGGCCAGCTATGAGGTGTTAATGTTACCATTTTATCGGTCCCAAGGGCTATGATTTTGGCGGAATATTGAACTAATCTAGCTTTAGCAACTTATTAAAGAAATTGAAATACTATCAATTTTTATTAGTGGAAAATCTTGATAAGTTTATAGGTTAACAAAATTGAGATTTTACAAATTTACATGGTATCTCAATACCTTGTTCCTAATTATTGGCCGCTTGAGACACACTTAAAAACATATCTTTTTAATAAAAAAAACCATTGAATTTTTACGACAAATTTATTTGGCAAAAGCATTCCAACCCCGTGAGTTATCCTTTTACCGGAAAAATTTTGTTATATTTTCGAGATACCATTAACGTGGTATCCCGGATAAATGAAAACGCACCTTTTCAATTTTTTTCTCTTAAGTGATTGATAAAGTGTAAAAAAAATAAAAATAAAAAACTAAGATAGCGTGTTTTTATCTTCTCAAGATTTGACGTGGTATCCCAAGGATACGACAGAATTCCTCTTTTTACAGATCATCCTAATCAAAAGCCACCGAGTTCTCTAGCTCCTTGATAAAGTCATTCCATCCACCGCCATCGGCATTAGATGACGAAGATGACTTACTGCCTTAGCTTAGCGTTCCCCTATTAGGAGCAGGAAAGATTTACAGATCAACGTGGATTCTAATGGAACATTTTAAATTAAAATAATAGAAATCATTAAAATAAATATAGAAACATGAAAAACCAAAACATAGAGATGCGTTACTCACTTTGGAACAATTTCAACATTTTAGAGTCCAGGCCATGATTTTCTAATCTTGAAACCACAAATATGGAAGGAAACATATGCCTACATATACCTTTGGTTGGGTAAGTTAATGTTTAATTGATTTTGGAACAGCAACTTTCCCTAAAACAATCATTCTGCTTCTTCTTCCTGAAGCTGATCTGTAATTAATGTACAATTAAATTAATGTATTATTCAACCAACTATCTAAATAATTTAATAATAATATCTTTTTAATAGAAATAAAAAATCTTGATTTTGAGTTGAACAACATGCAGATAATGTGAAAGATCTTGATTTTGAGTTGCATAACATGTAGATTATGTAAATATAAATGATGAGAGAGGGTTATTTCTAATTGTGCAATCTGAAATTAAAATAAAATAATAATGTAACATGACTGTAGATTGTCTTTGCTTTGTACTTTTAATATGAGTGGTGCTATAAGAACAACTTTTTTATCTCATCTTTTTATACATTTTTCATGTATTATTAAATGAGTTGATGCATTCGATATCATGAGTCCCACATAAATTAAAACAATCAATCATTTTAATGACACATTAAATTGTATAAAAATATGAAACAAAAGAATTGTTCCAATAGCATTTTGCCTTTCAATATAATTGGTACTCCTTTAGTTGTTATTAATATAATATTTGCCTTCTGCCAAAAAAGGAAAAAAAAAAACTGTTAGAATATGTATAATTTACAACTCTCCCAAGTGAAAATATAATTTAGAAAAAATAACGGGCAATGGCAAAGAAACACACAACAAATATTGTGTAAGAATGAAGACATTTCATCTATATGAAGGGTAAAATGTGCTAAAGCTTCCCATCAAAAAGCAAATATCGGGGAGAGGCGCTGAAAGTAATTACAATAAAAAATGTCATTCTCATACCTAACTAAATTATAAACATTATTTCTCACAAGTAGTTGATCAATTAATCAATTGGTATAAATTTTGATTCAATACATTATAAAATATATTAATTAAAAAATTATTATTTTTTAGTATAAAATTAAAAACAGATAAAATTAAAAATATAATTACGTATATAAAATGTAAGAATCAATTAAATCAATTGTATTAATATTATATTTTAATAATTAAATTAGATAAGTATAAAAAAAAAATTATTAATGAGTACCTTGTCGTTTCCTCTGAATGCTATATCTCTGAGTACTGACCACACTCCTCATCAACCAATTTTTCTAGATGAATGATTTGGGAGTTAGAGGACCCCATAAATGAGGCAATTCTAATATCCCCAGTAGTCACTAAAATTCTACTTCCTGCAGCACCAAGATCAAATGTGACTTTTAGTGAATCCCACGTCTCACCTTCGTCGGCCTAAACATCATCTAAAACAAGAAGATATTTCTTTCCTTCGATAGATTTAGAAATCCTTCCTAAAAGAACCTCCATTGGATCTGATTCGAGGCCATATGCTGCGCTACCACTAAGCTTTTCAAGCCCTTGAATGATTGCTTTTGCAACTCTTTTCTCGTTAAAAGAATCAGAAACACAAACCCATATTACACTCTCAAAATGCATTTTAACATCAGGATCATTGCCCACCAGTTGTACCAGAGCTGTCTTTCCCAGCCCACCCAACCCTACTATAGAGATGGTTTGGATTAGTTTCCCAGCCTCATCTTCACTATTCCTTCCAACAAATACCTCAATAGTTCTCTCTTCACCCCCATTCCGACCACATAGTTTTGACACATCAACAAAAGTTGAAGTTTCTGGACGTTTTGGGAAGCTCAGTCTTCTTACTTTCCAATTGATACTTATCTTTCTCCTTTACAATCTCATCTATTCTTCTATTGATTTCCTTTATGTTCCTAGAAACTTCACGAAGACTACTTAGCCGACGAAAGAAAATCATGAAAGGAAATTGTAGAGTAGTATTACCTTCCCTGACGATTAGCACCATTTTCTGCTCCTTTCACTTCCAGCTCTACTCCACTTTTCCACAATGCATCCTCCATGTCGTACACAGCTTCTTTGAGCCTGTCCAGCCATTTCTTGACAAGTTCGTCAGTTGTTTTCTTCTCCTCAGCGTGCGCGAACACTCTCAGGACGACATCAAGATATCTTTCAAGCTTTTCCACTTCTTCCTCAACACCGACCAACAGCTTCACCTCTTTCTTCGCCTTGTCGATGATTGTTTTCACCTGGTCTAGGAATAGGGAAAGTATAGCATCAGCCATATTTGGAGGGAGGGATTCGCAGATACAGATAGGGACATTGAAGGGCAAATTGATTAGGAGAAATTGATTAAGTAGATCTAATAAAATGGCCAAGAGTTGCCCTACTGTTGGTATTCTCACAAAGAAATGGAAAGAAAATCACGAAGAAGATGAAGAGCAAAATCACTGCATTTCTGATTAATTCAAACTTTTGCAGACGTTAAGAAGTTGCAGTCGAGAAGGTTAAGAGTTGGCTGACTTTTTCTTAAACATACTGTACCACCCATAAGGGAGGATAAGCACGACTACCTTGCTACGGTATGAACTCCTGATTTCCTTTTAATTGTTATTTCGTTTTTTTCTTAGTAATTTTAATTTTAAGTAATACTTTTACATAAATATTTTTATATTAAATAAAATTATTAAACCTTAAAAAAATATTTTTTTCATAAATAGAAAATTTTTTTTACTCAACTTTACAACATTATGTGCATCTTTTATTTAAAAGAAAAAAATATTTTATTCAATTAAATTAAAATACTGATCAAAATTTAAAATTTTTATTAAATAAAATATTCTTTTATTTTCTCCCCTCACTTTATTTCTCTTTAGACTAAACAAACTCTATATTATGTAGGAAGGAGAAATTTAGTTCCATTTATTATTTTCTGCCAAAGATGGTATCAGAACCATAAAGACTTCTGTTCTCGGGATGCAATATATTTTCTGCTGTATGCCATTGGGCTTTTGTGCTTAAGATTGAAAAAATAGTGGATAACCCAATAATTTTTGGCTTTATATTATATCTAATAAGACTTGCTAATGGGTCAACTATGGGCTGTTACTGTTACCATTTTATCGGTCCAAAGGAGTATGGTTTTGGCAGAATATTGAATTAATCTAACTTAGCAACTTTGTAAAGAAATTGAAATGCTATCAATTTTATTTAGTACAAAATCTTGGTAAGTTTACAGGTTAACAAAATTGAGATTTTATAGATTTACATGGTCTCTCAATAGCTTGCTCCTACATTATTAGCAGCTTGAGACACAATTCAAACCATATCTTCCTAATAAAAAACCACTGAATTTTTACAGCGAATCCATTTAGAAAAAGTATTCTAACCTCGAGAGTTCTCCCTTTACAGATCATCCTAATCGAAAGCCACCAAGTTCTCCAACTCTTTGGAATTTGAGTCGTATATATGGGGAAGTGAATTAAAGAATAAAAGAGAATTAGTTTTTATTGTGCAACATAAAATAATAAAAAAAACATAATGTAGCATTGCTGTGATTGTCCTTGCCTTGTACTCTCAGTATGGTATTCCCTTAATTGTTATTAATATAATATTTACCTCTGGTCAAAAGAGAAAAAAAAAAAAAAACTATTAGAATATGTATAATTTACAACCCTCCGAAGTGAGAATATAATTCAGAAAAATTAACAGGCAACTGCAATGAAGCACACAACCAATATGTAAGAATGAAGACATTTCATCTATATGAAGGATCAAATGTACTGTAGGTTTCCAACCAAAAACAACTATAGGGGAGAAACGCTGAAAGTAATTATAATTGTAAATGTCATTTCCATACCTAGTTAAGTTATATACATTGTTTCTCACAAGTAGTTAATAAATAATAATTAATCAATTGATAATAATTTATACATATTATGGTTTAACATACTGTATAATATATTAATTAAAAAATTATTATTTATTAGTATGAAATTAAAAACAAATAGAGTTAAAAATATAATTATGTATATATGATATAATAATTAACTGAATCGACTATATTTATATTACATTTTAATAATTAAACCATAACAAATATAAAAAAATGTGTTGAATTGGACATGTACTAATTATTTTCCTTAATCAATACCCTCCTGAATCTTCCTTCTCAGGTTTTTTGTTATCAATATAAGATGTGAGTGGTATTTTTCTTTTAAACAACCATATGATAAATAATTTTGATATTTAAAGTATGAAGATATTTCCATTCTTTTGATGACATATTTGACGTCAAAATTCAAGTTTTTTGGTAATGTCATCCAAACAAACTAAACACAGCCTAAAAGAAAAGTACAAGTAGATTCAATCAATCAGATACATTGCAATCAACAAACATAAATTGCAAAAAAGATTATATGAACCTACCGCATGAAGCTGATAAGCTACATCAAAAGCAATATTTGTTAATTTTTTATTAAAACAACCACTAAAATACATAAAATTATATATTTCTTAAAACTATGCTCCTACATTAATTAAGTTATTTATTAACACAAACCACTCCTATAAGTAAAATGGTATATACAGAAACAAAGAACGTTCTTGCATAAACATAGACCGTGGGTGTCAGGCACCGCTGTTTAGTTTACCAGACACCTATTTTCCAAAGGCCTAGCACATGGTATCCACACCAAACCGATCGGGTTTTTTGGATCTTTATGCAATTTTTCAATGGCAAAATTTCGAATTGGGTCCTCCATCTTCTATATAATCAGCATTTTGATCCTATAACTTCAAATTTATTCACTTAGTTCCCTAAAAGCGACCTTTCTTCTAACAATTCAGTCCCTAAACTTGAAAAGATGTTCAATTAAGTCTAAATGTTTGTATTATTATGCATTCAAGTCCTTTTCTAGAAAAAAAATAAGAATTATGTAAAATTCATTGAAAATCACATCTTATCCATCCAAAAAACAACAAAATTAAGGTTAAAATAAGATATTAATGCATATAAAATGCATTTCAACAAAAAGCAAAGCAATTTGAATTGTAACCTTCGCTCTTGAAACCTAAAATCTAAACTAGAGAAAAAAAATAGATAAATGATAAGAATATCTAGAGAAAAAAGAAACAAATCCAATAAATAAACCCAAGAAAATACTAGACATATATTAGGGTTCACTCTAAGTGTAGACTTGAACTAGCAAATAAATAAAATTTAATGAGAAGCAATCAACACTAAATGAAAAGCAATATTCTTTGCAGTTTTGCAATGAACATCAAATGGGAAAAACATATGGAAGATTGCTATTCTAGTGCCCAAATCTTAGAGAACTAAAGTAATCCAAAGCACCAAAAGCCAACTCAATCATAGGATTGATTTTTCCTTTGGATGATTAATGGTGAAACCAACTGAATTTTGGAAAAACCAATCAAACATAGAAATAGAAAACATTGAGCATCAACACAGCATGAGGAAGAAAACATCTTAAGGCAAAGGACATGGAAGAGCGAAAGGACAAAAAGTCAAATTCTAAGAGAAAAAAGGACAAAGAACAAAGGGTGAAAAAGGCAAAAAAAATTTTGTGAGAGGGGGAGAGATAGCAGACAAAAGACAGGGAGAGTAAAAAGACCAAAAAGCCAGATTCTAAAAGAGAAAGGCAGAAAAAAAGAATGGAGGGCAAAACAAGAAAAAAAAATATTCTGAGAAGAGGGAGAGATATTGTAGCAATTTGTGAGAGGAGAGTGTTTCTCTCATTAACTACTTTAGATTGTACTACCTTGTTTACTCTATTTGTCCAAGGTTCTTTCATAAGCTGATTTTTGTCTACCTAATTTGATAGTTTCTAAAAGTTTTAATTTTTTTAAATATTAATTTCTCACAAGTTTTCAAGTTTCAAATGAAAATTTTAAACTTTTGAGTTTTAATGTGACATGGGAATTAATGTGAAAAATATTTCAAAGAAAAATCGAGATTAAATTGAATTATTCGCATTTTATACTTAATTGCAAATATTTAAAACGCAAGTTTTATTCTAGGGATCTTATTGTGATTAACGAAACATTTGAGGACCTAATTGACGTCTATGAAAGACTTATGGATTAAAGGGAACTTCCAATCTTAAACGGCGCCGTTGTGATGCTTCCCGTTCTGCGCCTTTCTGTTCCTCTTCATCTCGCTTTTCCGGCTACCGAGATCCCAGACAAGAGCAGACCTTGCACCACGTGGAAGGAGGAACCCTGCAATTCCGTGCAAGTCAGCGGCAGAAGCATGGTCTTCCGATCAGCCTCAATTTCTTTGCTGCCTAGTCCGTATTTCTTTCTGCAGGTATAGGGTCAATCTTTGGCGAAATTTGCTCAAGGGCCATGATGAATCAAGGAAAATTGGACGGTGAAGATTGGAGGAGTCTAGGGTTTAGGTCGGGATTTTGTATAACTAGGCTGACTATTTTTTTAGGAGGGAGGTCAGAGTTGTAGCTCCTTGGGGCGTGTGGGCAGTGAAGAGAATTTGTCATTCCATTGTTGAAATCTTAGTTTCATTAAGCAAATTTTCAGGTATGATCTTGTATTGCTTTTTTCTTACCCCGTGTAATTTCTCTCTTGAAATTGAAATGAAATTTGGGGTTGTAGCTTGAGATTTTTGGTTCTTTCGTAATCTGGAATCTTCTCTTGCTTGTGACATTTTGGAAATTTTCAGTTGAATTTGCCAAGTGAGAGCTGTCAAACTAGAAATGGAAATTAGAAAGAAAGAACAAGAGAATTGGGAAGAGATCATGAGAGAAACATAGAGGAGGAAGAAGGAAGAACATGAAACTGAGAGGAAGAAGGAAGATACAGAGAGAAGCTAAGTTCAATATTCATTCAATTGATATTACAATTACAGGGCATTGTCTCTTATATACTACTAATATGGCTGAACAGAATAACAACCTTTCTTTTACAAACTCTATCAACCTCTAACAACCTTGTCAGCTCAGCTCCTATAAAATGGACTGTATCACCAAGTTACAGGACCAACCCCATATAGGGTTCTTCAAGCTTGCTGTATTTTATTTTGCAATGATAGATGCTTGGAACTTGGGGCAGGTTTTGTGCATTTTATTTGGTGCAGTTTTTTTTTTTTTTTTTTTTTTTACAGGATTTTTCTCCAGTCCTTGAAAATGACTTGTCTGATGCTATTCTTTTCCTTGTTAGCTTTCTGAACTTTAGTCATGAAATCCTTTGCAGCAATTTGATTCTGTTCATCATCTTTTCTGTTTGAGTCTTAAGTGTCATTCTTTACCATTCTTCCCATCCCAGTTTTATTTTGCTTAGCTTTGTCTATCTGAGACCTGTTATGTTATGGATTTTCAATTAACTGATGGAAAATATACATATATAAAAACTTGCTCCTGTTTTAAGTTAATATTTGGCGTATTTATTTATTTATTTGAAATCTACATGTTGTCACGCATTGCGATAGAGTAAGCTTGCATATTTATTCATTTTGTGAAAGTCAGTAGAAAGAGTAATTAGTAAAATGCCTCAGTGCTTATGTCATTTAATTATCCAGGAGTCTTTCCCTCAGTATCTGTTACATTCTTCCATCTCTGATTCTTTTCGTTTGGTTCCGTTTCTTCTTGGGTCAGAGATGACATTATCACCCCCCGGATAATTTTGCATATACCTAAATTTTTAGTATCAGAAGAAAAAAAATCTTTATGTCTTCACTTTTTCGATCAAGCCAGCTCCAACTCTTGATCGTGTACTAGTCCCATTAATTTCTAAGTTGTGCCTTAATGATCTCTAGCAAACGGATATCCGTATTTTCTTTTCTACAAGGAAGATGCTTCTTTTCCGATCACTTATTTACCAGCATTCTTTCCGACATGGCAGTGCTTATGAATTATGACTTTTAAAATATTTCTCATAATTATAAATTTATCATCCAAAAGACAATTCTTCGGTGATATGAATTATTGACATCTTTAATAACAATTCGAACTTTTAACGAACTAGTGGTGTAATTTGAAGAAAAAAAAGTCAAAATTTTCTTCATCTTTCTGCAGCAAAAGGTATAGACCTTGGCTGCCTTTACCCTTCTGTTTGTTATAGGAAATTTTCTGTAAGGATCAACAACTTATTAGCTTCTTTCAGATAAAACAAGAATTTTTTCCCCGTTTGTAGATCCATAAGGGTATTGACAAAGATTGAGAATGTCCGTTCAGAAATTGGAAGAGATTGTGGAGGCTTCTGATGGAATAATGGTGGCTTGCAGTGACCTTTAAGTTGAAGTCCAACTTGAACAGATTCCAATAGTGCAAGAGGATATAACTCTGGTTTGCAGGGAACTAAATAAGCCTGTGATTGTGGCTTCTCAACTTCTGGAGTCAAGGGTTGAATATCCGATCCCAAATCAGGCTGAGGTAATGCCATAGTGAAGCATTGTTTATACTGTGAAGGAAGAGATTACAGAATATTCATATGCATGTAACTATATTCCAGCGGAAATTTTTGAAAATTGCTTTGTATTCTTTGATGCAAGCTGGTTGCTGAAGCCGTTAGACAGTTAGCTGATGCATAGATGTTGTCAGGTGAGTCAGCTATTGGATCATATGGACAGAAGGCTCTTGCTGTTTTACGGATGGCCAGCAGTCGCATGGAATTTTGGAGTCGTGAGGAAAACAAGCATGATCTCCAAAAATGTCAACTTGGAGTATCATTACCTGACTGCATTGCTAAGCAGATCTGCAATTGTGCTGTTGATATGGGTATTTATTATTATCCTTAGCTTTCCTTTACAATTAATCTCTAAATTTTTGAAATCCTACCATAAACCTTGAAAGTTAAGCCCGATTTTTCCTGTTGATTATTAGTGCAAGGAAAGTGTCAATGAGTTATGTTTCTGCTTTCTGCTTTCTGCTTTTTCTGATACTTAAATTTGCTGTAATGAGAGCACTTAGTGTTGTTTAGCACCTGAAAGAGACATGATTTTATGGTGATTTTATTGGATTTAATTGGGATGGGATTTAGCTCTAAGAAAGACAAACTCCATTCTTATTAGCGGGAACCTTGAGAGAGGGCTTGTTCTAGTTTAGTGACTTGGTTAAATCTGGACTTCTGGAGATATCCTTGCACTGAAACATTTACCTCATTTGTTTTGGTTAAGGTTGTTCAATTTTTTCATTTTCCCTCCATTTTAAAATTAAAATTGACAATTTAGTTATTGCCATTTTAAGAAGCATGCATTCTTTTATTGTTACATGAGAAAGTTCATCTGCTTAGCTATTGCAAAGATTTGGAACTGAGTTTCTGAACGTGACGAATCGAGCTTTTGAAGTTACTACTGACTCTGTTAAGTGCCTGTTGAACATAGCATGCATTTGTCACTCATTAATTAGGTTTGTTGTATTTTTGCATCCACAGATGTGTCAAATTTTATAACTGTGTGCTTTCTTTGTAGCTAACAACCTAGGCGTGGATGCCATCTTTGTGTACACAAAGCATGGACATATGGCATCACTCTTGGCTCGCAACAGTCCATATCCACCCATATTTGCCTTCACTAATAATAGTGACACCCAAATGGCTCTAAATCTGCAATGGGGGGTTTTTCGCTTGCTTGTTGATCTTTCATATGATATGGAGGGTAACATCATAAGAACCATGGATCTTAAGAAAATAAAGGGAATGGTGAAACCTTGAGATGCTGTTTTGGTGGTTTCAGACGAAACTCCAACCATCCCAAATCCAACTGCTTTCCAGGCAATCCAGGTCAAGAAGTTTGACTAGCACTCTCCATGAGAGGAAGCTGATGTTGGTGAGTCCAGAAGGTGAAGGAATTGCATCTGTATGCCTTTCCTATCCACTTGTTTGGGATTTGATGACAACTGACCATTTATACTGTTGAAATTGTATTGCATAAATTGTGCTTGGTTGTCTATATGTGATCATGTTTAAATTCAAATGCTTTTGTTAGAGTGATAGATGATCATGCTATCAAGTATACACAATGAGAGCAGGAGATACACAATGAGAGCAGGAGATACACAATGAGTTTTGCATAATAATGTTAAGAAAATAGACACACACAGGCACACAATTCTTGTACATAATATTCCAAATACAAAACAACCAGAAATTAAGACAACAGATTTTCTCTTCAAAGAGCGAAACAGCTTCCTTATTCACCAATACTAGAAGAAACTTTTCCTTCAATTTTCAGAATCCTCTTGCCACGTCCATGTTCAACTCCTACAAAATGTGCATATGGTTTTTCCATATAAGAAATTTGTTCTTATAGAAGAGTATCTCAACTTAGTAAGAGCTGAGAAGAAGAGTTAAGAAATATAATTAAGTTACCTTTTGTTTTACGGAACATTATCATATTAGACGTATCGAAAGGAAATGAATTTTTAGTATTATTTCAAATACTAAACCACTACCTTGGAAGAAACTAATAGTGTAAATGCTTGAGTATATCTTGTACTTTATTTAACAAAATTCATTTTTGCCCTAAAAAAAAAAAAAAAACCATTACCTTAGTGAAGCAAGCACGTGCCCCGTAGAGAAGAAAGCATGCAACTGCAAAGCAAAGTCAACAAAAATATGAGGCTTTAAAAATCAGTGATGTTTGACTAAAAACATGAATTTGGAGAGACAGAATATAGGATAAATGATAATGGAGTACCTCTATCTCAATAGACAGGAGAATTGAACTTGAACCAGTCAGGATGACCGAACCCGCCACGCGGATTGAGCCAATAGTCGTCGCTGAAACCAAATATTATGCTTGGAGGCAAGTGTAAGGCTTCAATTATGTCATCTTCCTCAACTTCTCCAGGCAAATATATCCATAACTCCTCCACATTCTGAAGTCCAGCTTTTCCAGCCTCCTCCATATCAATTGAATTTCCCACCACTTTCATCCAAACCCTACGAAGATGCTTTAAGTTTCCAAGATCAGCAATGCTAAATTCTGTACCATCATTCCTGTCAGCTCTAGCAATGACCCCTATCAGAGTTCTAAGAGAAGTCAATTTTCCGACGTCTTTTGGGTAATGAGTCAGAGCAAAGCAACCATTAGTAACAAGAAACCTCAAATTAGGTAATTTTCCTATCGACTCTGGCAAATGCTTCAGACTTCGGCATCCTTTTAAATCCAGACACTCCAGATTGAGTATATTGCAGAGTTCTTCAGGCAACCTTTCTAATTTTTTACTATTAGCTAAGTTTATATATCTCAAATGCATCAATTTCCCAATATCTTCAGGAACTTCATTACATAAATGATCAGGTCCATCAGGCCAATTAAAATCCAATAGCCTTAAGCGTCTGCAATGATTAAACAAGCTACGCAATGCATCACAAGTCAAAGCATCCTTTCCTGTATAAGTTACAAGAGTTCGCAATTTTTCTGCACCAGAAATGGATGTAGGAAAACTCATCCTTTCACCAACCATCACTAACAAGTGACGATGTCTCGCTGAGTTTATACTCAAATGATCAGTCTGCACAATCTCCATAGCAAACTCATTCTCCGCCAAATATTTACCAAAGTCATGTACCACATCATGCATCTTAAAAAAAAAGATGTATCCATCCCTGGTTGCAAAATCTTGAAAGAAAGAGTGGGCTACTAGGATGTTAAAGTACTCTAACCCTACTAACTCCAAATCTGCATCAGGATCAGAGCCTAAAAAACCTTGTGCCAGCCAATGTGATGTTATGTGATGATACGCATATACAAAATCTTTAGGGAAAAGTACGCAGTACAAGAAGCACCGCCTTACTGGATGGGGCAAATCATAATAACTCAAAAGCAAAGGAGCAAAAATTTCCTTTTGTGCCAAATTTAGTTTCCATATTTCACTAGCCAAGATATTTAGCCACTCTCCTTTAGTACTCCTAGAGTGTAAGAGACTTCCCAAAACTTTGGCAGCAAGAGGTAAGCCTTTACATCTTTTTGCAATTTTCCTCCCAATTTCCTCCAAATCTTCTCGACTCTTCATCTTGTCCTTTCCTTTAAATGCTTTATCTCTGAGTATTGACCAACACTCCTCGTCACCCAATTTCTCTAGATGAATGATTTGTGAGTCAAAGGATCCCATCATTGATGCAACATTAAGATCCCGAGTAGTCACTAAAATTTTACTTCCTGCAGCACCAAGATTGAATGTAACTTTTAGTGAATCCCACCTCTCACATTTATCAGCCCAAACATCATCTAAAACAAGAAGATATTTCTTTCCTTCAATAGATTTAGATATCCTTCCTAAAAGAATCTCTAATGGATCTGATTCTAGCCCGTATGCTGCGCTGCCACTAAGCTTTTCAAGTCCTTGAATGATTGCTTTTGCAACTCTTTTCTCATCAAAAGAATCAGAAACACAAACCCATGTTACACTTTCAAAATGTTGTTTAACATTAGGGTCATTGCACACCAATTGTGCCAGAGCTGTTTTTCCCAGCCCACCCATCCCCACTATAGAGATGGTTTGAATTAGTTTCGCAGCATCCATTTCACTATTCCCTCCCAACAAATAACTCAATATTTCTCTCTTCACCCCATCCCGACCACATAGTTTTGACACATCAACAAAAGATGAAGTTTCTGGACGTTTTGGAAGTTCAATCTTCCTCCTTTCCAATTGATACTTATCTTTCTCCTTTACAATCTCATCTATTCTTCTATTGATTTCCTTTATGTTCACAGCAACTTCATGACGACTACTTAGCCGATGAAAAGAAAAGCATGAAATAAAATTGCGGAGTAGCAGTACCTTCCCCTGACAATTAGCAGCATTTTCGGTTCCTTTCACTTCCAGCTCTGCTCTAGTTTTCCACTCATCCAATGCATCCTCCATGTCATACGCAGCTTCTTTGAGCCTGTCCAGCCATTTCTTGACAAGTTGATCGGTTGTTTTCTTCTCCTCAGCGTCCGCGAGCACGCTCAGGACAAGATCAAGATTTCTTTCAAGCTTTTCCACTTCATCCTCGACACCAACAAGCAGCTTCACCTCTTTCTTTGCCTTGTCGATGATTGTTTTTACCTGGTCTAGGAATAAGTAAAGTATAGCATCAGCCATTTTTGGAGGGAGGGATTCACAGATATAGATAGGTTGTTGAAAGGTGATTTGATTAGGAGAAATTGATTAAGTAGATCTAATAAAACGGACAGGAGTTGCACTACTGTTGGTTTTTTTTGGCAAGAAGAAGAACCGAGCAAAATCACTGCAATTTCAGATTAATTCAAACTTTTGTAGATACCAAGAAGTTGCAGTAGAAAAAGTTGAGTTGATTGACTAATTGACTGACTTTTTCTTAAACTAAAATTGTGGATGAGCACGACTACTTTGCCACAGTATGTACTACTGCTTTCCTTCTAATTGTTTTTCCTTTTTTTTTTTTGAACAGAGTGGCAAAGGTGAGTTCGAACTCACCAGGGGAGGGAGGGAGGGAGAGGCGACTCCACCTCTAAGATAATCCAATGGTCACTTGACCCTTCGGGTGACCTTTTAATTGTTATTTCGGTTTTTTTTTTAATTAGTAATTTTAATTTTAAGTAATACCTTACCATAAATATTTTTATTAAATAAAATTATTAAACCTTATATATGTTAA